GAGCTCCCTGATCAGCATCAACCATAAGAACATAAGAACAACCGCAGTAGTTTAGACCAAAAGTCCATCTGGCCCAGTGTCCTGTCTTCCCACAGTGGCCAATGCCAGGTGCCCCAGAGGGAATGAACAGAACAGGTGATTATCAAGTGATCTATCCCCTGTCGCCCACTCCCAGATTCTGACAAACAGAGCCTAGGGACACCGTCCCTGCCCATCCTGGCTAATAGTCATTGGTGGATCTGTCTTTCCATGAACTTATCTAGTTCTTTTTTGATCCTTGTTATAGTGTTGGCCTTCACAACATCCTCTGGCAAAGAGTTCCACCAGCTGACACTATCTCTAAGAGGGCAGTGGGGTCTAGTGGACTAGAGCGGCGGAGGAGAGGGAGGCTGGGAGTCTGTACTCCTGGTTTCCCTCCCCAGCTCTAAGAGTGGGGTCTGTGGAAATGGTAGTAGATGGGTAATTATTTAGATTGATCCCAATTCCCACTGTTCTTCCACTTTATTCACTCTCTGGACCCCTCTGTCCCTAGCTCTGATGCAGTGGGGCCCTGGGTAGCACAGACTCACCTGCCCTTCTCCTGGGCACACTCACAGTCGTGTCTCTCGGTTCAGCATGAAGGTGAATGGGGGATGCTGGAGCAAACGGGAAGCCTCCAATGCTGAGAATAACAGCCAGGGAGCAACCACTGGGGCTTATTTATCCTCAAATCTGTGTCCTCATGAGGCTGTGCACACACAAGGGGAGGGGGATCTGGGCCGGCCGGGTGGGACTGTTGGGGAGGAGCCAAGGTGTTTGGAAACAGACACCCAGTTGGGTAAACAGCATAAGAGCTTTAGGGACAGAACGGCCGTGATTGCTCAACTGCAGCCAGCTCTGGGGTGGGGCAGGTGGGTACCAGGAAGTGATTCAGGAATCCTGTGTCCAAAGAAAATATAAGTGGATTTTAGATGATGGGTCAGAATGGAATAACTGAAGAGTGTGTTTGGCCAGGTGACTGGGGAAACATATCCCAGTAATGAGAGAAAGTGCTTGGGGATGTTTAGTGAGAAGCAGGGCCAATGAGTTGGTTGTTTCTAATGTGAAATCCAGGATTCATTTCAGCACAGCACCGTGCTGAGGCATTTGGGTCAGCCCCGACTCCAAGGGGTACTCCTGGGAATTCTGCGCCACTGTAACATGCAGAATTCATGTGCCACGCAGAATTTTTTTCCCCACAGAAAATACATTCTGCTGTCGTATTTGGGTCAGCATTGACTGCAAGGGGACTGTGGGGTCAGCATTGACTGCAAGGGGACTGTGCCCTCTAGTAAGCTCCCACCTTGCTCCCTGTAGCTCAGTGCTCCCCAACACCATGCTAGAGCAGCACCACCCCTTCTGCACAGCACCCCTTAGTGCCACACTGGGACATTGGGGACAGCACTGACTGTATGGGGAAAGCATCCCTCCTTAACCCCTGTAGCATATGCAGAATTTTGGTAGTTGCTTTTTGAAATCCTGCCCATGCTGCAGCCCTCTTAGCTTGTGAGAGCCACTCCAGGTGAGATCCTGGTTCTGACAACATATGGTTGGGTCATGAACATTATTGACACTCGGGGCATGTTTGTTCCTCCTGAAATTGCCTATGGTCCCTGGGTTGGTTCTCACAGTCACTTACCAAGGGGCGTTTTGTTGTTTCTAGTTGCCAGCATTGGTCACAGGTTGGTCACTGTTGACCTAAGTTGGGTGAGTGACTGCAGAACACTGAGCGCATATTACTTAGGCGTGTCAGAACTCAATGTTTATGCTTTATAATTTTGATGGATATGTAGGGCGGTTCAGCTGGGGCTCGTACCCCTCCGGGGTGGCGGGGAGGCAGAGTGCCTCGCTACTTTGATCAGAGGTGTCGGGGAATTAGCCTGGCTTGTGGCAAACAGTCAGTAGCTCAGGCCCTCAGGCAGGAGTTCAGCAAACAGGTTAAGTATTAGCAGGCCCAGGCCCTGGGTCAGGGCAGGTCAGCAAACAGTGAGTGGCTCAGGCCCTCAGGCGGAAGCTGAGCCAACAGGTTCAGTATTAGCAGGCCCAGGCCCTGGGTCAGGGCAGGGGAACAAACAGTCAGTAGCTCAGGCCCTCAGGCAGGGGCTGAGCAAACGGTTGAACAGCAAACCCCAGGCTCCTGGCTCTGAGCAGCCGGGGAGAGGGGGAGACTGCCAGCTGCAATGTGGGTGGCAGGGGGACACAGGCCCACCACTCCATTGCGTCCCAGCCCGGGGCCCTAGCAGTGGCAGAAGGCCCTCTGCTGTGTCAGTGGGGATCCTGACCGCAACACACTGACATGGGCTCTGGTAGTGTTGCAGCCAGACTAGAGTCGGCTGCCCCCGGGCTACTTCCTACCTCCCCCGTTAGAGGTACCTGGATCCGGATGGCATCCTACACGGGGTCACACACCATGGGCTCCTCGGGTAGCTGGCGAGCGGTTGGTTTGGCAGCTCCTTGGGGTAACTGGCAAACGGCAGGCCTGGCAGTTCCTCAGGGTAATGGGCGAGCAGTAGGCTTGGCAGCGTCTCTGGGCTCAGGCTAGCATCAGGCTTTGGCTGGTCTGGCCAGTCCTCGGGTCGGCCGCGGTCTCCCAACTGGGAGCTACGCCACAGGCGTCTTGTCTCTCCGGTGCCTGAGTTTCAAGTGAGCTTTGGGGTCGGGCTTTTATACTTCCTGTCCTGCGCCGTGACCTCTGAGGGGTGGGCGCAGGGTTTACTGGCTCTGTCCACTTTGGTGTCCAGAGAGGCTCATCCCCTCTCGGGTGGTGGGGAGCCATACCCCCCTTAAGTCTGGCTTCCACTCCTCGTGGCTGGACTCTTCCACACCTCCCAGGCATGACAGGAAGTCAGCATTAGCGTGGTCTTTGCCTGCCCTATGGTGAACTGTAAAGGCATAGGGCTGGAATGCCAGGTACCATTGCTGTATTCTCATATTATTGTCATATTATTGTCTTTCATTTTACTCATCCACTGAAGCGGGGCGTGGTCAGTGACTAGGGTGAATGGGGCTCCAAGCACGTAGTAACGTAGGGCATCACAAGCCCATTTCACCGCCAGGGCCTCCTTCACCTCCGCGTAGTTCTGGCTAATATATAAGACCGGATGGTCTTCTCCATCTATCTCTTGGGACAGGACGGCGCCCAGTCCTATCTCTGAGGCGTCCGTTTGGAGGACGAAGTCCCGGTTGAAATTTGGGCTTTAGAGGACCAGTTCACGGCAGAGACTTGTTTTGAGTTCCTGAAAGGGGTCTTCCCATTCCTGGGTCCGTTCCCTATAGTGTAGCCCAGATAAGTAGTCTCTTGCATCCAATGCGGCATTATTTGGGTGGGCTGTCAACCCGTCCACCGGCAGGGATCTCAGGACTGCAGCTACCCATACCAAATGATCCTCCCAGTGGCGGCTGTAGATGATCACATCGTCCAAGTAGGTGGCCGCATAGTCTCGATGGGGTTGGAGGACACGGTCCATCAGCTGCTGAAACATGGAAGAGGCTCCGTGGAGGCTGAAGGGCCTCCGGGTGAATTGGTACAGACCTGTTGGAGTGGCAAACGCGGTCTTCTTCATCGAAGCGGGGTCAAGGGGAATCTGCCAGTAGCCCTTGCTCAGGTCAAGTGTGGTGAGGAAACGAGCTTCCCCTAGCCAGCCAAGCAGCTCATCTACGCGCAGCATAGGATATGCGTCAAATTCGGAAATGGCGTTGACGCGTCGGAAGTCCCTTCGGGCTTGGGTACTAGCACTGTCGGACTATGCCATTCACTCTGTGAGGGTTCAATTATGCCCAGCTCTAGCATGGCTTGTACCTCTTCCTCACCAACCTCCTGCATGCGGTCCGGCAAGGGTCTGGTCCTTTCTCGGATCACTACCCCAGGTTCTGTCTGAATGGAATGATAGACCAGGGTTGTGTAGCCTGGCTGGCCAGTGAAGGTTCACGGGAACGCCTGCAGGAGGCACCGGGTTTGCTTGTGTTGTTCGTCCGTGAGGGTCTCTGCAAGCACGGGCCCCTCGGTGTTCTGGGTCAGGGTGGCATGGGGGCCCAGTTCTGGCTCCGGCGGGTAGGGATTAATTAATAAGCCCTCACGCTCCCATCAGGGCTTCAGGAGGTTGACATGGTACCGCTGGGTTTTCTTATGTCGGTCCGGTTGGTTGACATCATAGGTGACGAGCCCCACCTTCCGGACAACGTCGTAGGGGCCCTGCCAGCGGGCCAGTTGCTTGGACCCGCTCGAGGGCAGGAGAAGCAGGACCCAGTCTCCATTGTTAAAGTCGTGGCTCTGCGTGTCTCGGTTATAGGTTGGAGCTTGAGCCCTGATCCATGAGAATCTCCCAGGGCAGGCCTACACGAGCAAAGACTTTCACTAGCTCGCCCGCAATGGTTCAGGCGGTGATGCTCCGCAGGTGTACTACCTCCAAGAAATGGGTAGCATCATCTACTAGGACCAGCACATACTGAAATCGCACGGTGCTTTTCGGGAGGGACCCCACCAAGTCCATGGCCACGCGTTTGAAGGGCGTTTCGGCGATGGGCATGGGAATCAACTGGGCCTTGGGTGTCCGCGGGGGTGCGGCTAGCTGTCACTCTGAGCAGGAGTTACAATAGTTCCCTACTTCCTGATGCACGCTGGGCCAGAAGAACCATGTCAATATCCGTGCTAGAGTCTTCTCGTGGCCCAAGTGCAAAGCATCCGAGATGTTGTGGATGAGTTTTATTACTGCCCGCCGGTGACACGAGTAGTTGGCTCTGGGGTTCTCCAGTGCGCGGGTCCCGTTCTACCCGATAGAACCAATCCTGTCACAGTTTGAAGTGTGACCACTGCTTCGCCCGGTGCGGGTCAATGTCGGCCCCATCGACCGTGGCTAGTCGCTCGTAAGCGTGACTGAGGCTGGGATCTGCCCTTTCGTTATGACAAAAGTCAGTGTGAAGCAGGGGTTCAGCAGCAGCTTCTGGATGGGAGCCATCTGGCTCTTCTTCCCGTCCGTTGGGGTCTGGTGCCTCCTTCCCCTCTGACTGGGTCTCAGGGAGGCTCGCTTCCAGTACTGGGGTAGTTGCGGGCCTCTCGTCAGCATTGGAGCGGAGGACTTCCAGGAAAATTGGCAAGTCCCGCCCCAGGATCACCGGGTAGGCGAGACGAGGAACCAGGTCGACCATCGATCGCGTGACTCCATCCACGGTCAGTCGGACTTGGGGACTGGGGTAGGGTCGTACGTCGCTGTGAATGCATTGTAGATGGATCGCTCCCAGGTGTGGGTCAGCCTGGAGGCCTAGGCTTTGGCAAACCAGCGTCTGGCCACAGCCTGAGTCAATTAGGGCCATGGTTAGGCAATTCTCGACAACCACTGGCACAGTAATCTTGGCGGATTGTTAGCTTTGGGCGCGGGCTTCTCCCGTGCAGAACTGTCTGAAGCTACAATCCATCTCGGTGCAGTCTTGCTGCAAATGGCCATATTTCCCACAGGAAAAACAGGGTCCGATATCCGAGCGCCCAGGCCGGGACACTGTTCCCGCCTGGCCCCGGGGCGGGGCTTTGGTTGGTCCCTCGGGCATCTGGTTGAGGTGCCGGGCTTGTCAAACTTGGAGCTCGACAGGTCGGGGTCGGGGCTCCGGGCCCCGTGACGGATTTCATGGTTTGCTCCTGGTGGCCCCCCTTTTCTTTGGGTTAGGGCGCTCCGGTCCTGGCGGGGCAGCTCGAGTGATTGGTCCCACTGGTGCTTCGGTGGTGAGGAAATCCTCCGTCAGTGTGATGGCAGCAGTTAAGGTCGTAGGCCGATGGTGGAGGACCCAGGCCCTTCCTCACAATGGGAGTATATGGACAAATTGTTCCAGAATAATTTGTTCAATGAGCTCATCCAGGGTTCGCCCTTCAGGTTGTAGCCACCGCTTGCAGGCTTCCCTCAACTCTTGGGCTGCCATCCGGGGTCAGGCCCTGTAGGGTAGACCAAGCTCCGGAAGCACTGTTGGAAGGTCTCCGGGTTAACGTCCAGGGCATCTAAAATAGCCGCCTTTACCCAGGTGTAATCCCGTGCCACGTCCGTAGACATGCCCCGATATATGGTTTGGGCGGTTTCGGTCAGATACGGGGCCAAAATGTAGCCCATTGGTC